ACAATGCCAAAAATTAGTGGTCCCAACTCGACAGCCTTCATACGCAGCAGAATAGGGAGGAAACAAAGAAGTCTCTGTGCCCACTTGACCTGCCAGCTGAGGGAGGCGACTAGAGTCAAGGCAGGACTGCTTATGCCGAGTTGATCTAGTTTCAGTGCTCCCCACTTTTGAGGCCACAGCATATGTAATATCAACCGTTCAATCAAAGTACGATCATTTTGGATTAAATGTCTGCACAGCTCAGAACGTCGTCTGGATTTTATGCGCTCCTTTTTATCGTCAACCTTACTAATTCTACGGTCAGTAGAAACGATAGTCGCACCTCCAAACAGTAACCGATCCTTCCTATAGCCACTAAAGCTGACGTGTAAGTTACCAAAGTTGTAAATTTTGTTGTAGTGGCTTGTCCACCATGGAATATAGTAAGTTGGGTCTCAAATATTATCCATTTAATTTTATACGAGGTAAACGGTGCGTGATTCGAAAATGACTAAAGAGGTATACGGAATGCATGAACTAAAAGTAACAGCTTCAAGTTGTGTAGTGATGTCAATGGCTCATGTAAGTCTTGAAAATGCATTTAAATGGCTTTTCATGTTTCAAAAGCATCACAGGTTGGAAAATGAATAACTTTTGCTGAACCACCTCATGCAGTAAGTAAAAATTGTTACTGCATTAAAAAATAAGCTTTTAATTGGGGTACAATGCGCAGAATCTATTGAGATCGTCAAATCCGATGACAGTGCATGCTGGGTGCCATTTCTATTGACGCTAGCTTAAGATGTCACATTCGGATGGCGTGCACTAACAAACGGACGACCTTTGACCGATCTGTGTTTTTAAACTATAGAACAATGGGGACGAGAAAAATGATAGACAAAACTGGCCAGACAACTGTTCTGCATTTGGTGATGAAAGTTGGCCAGTGACATGGCTTTTGGCAGCACTTGTTAGGTGTTTAGCACACAACCATGCAAGATAGGACATAAAGGAATAACAAATCTTTTCCGTCTTTAAATTTGCGCCATACATAAAAAACTCACGCTCGTGCCACAAAGAGGGGTTTGGTTCCCTCACCCCTGCAATGAGCCTCACCTTGCTCTTTGCAGTCACCTTTACTTCCATTGAACAATTCGCTTAAATATTGGCGGTAGCGTTGCGACTTGAAGTGCTAAAAACCGCCATTGGTGAGACAAAATTCGACTTAAACAGGAATTTTGCACAATCCAAGGGTGGTCGTTCAGCCATAAGATATATTTGAACTTCATAACTAGCATATAAGTATTTAGGAAATGGACTAGGCCACATCAGGTGGCATTGGCTACCCTGAGCCGTGGTCTTGCATTCAAGCCACAACAACTACAAAAGCAAACCGCTCCAGCACTCGTTTCCTGCAAAATTTCACCACGATTTTCGCCTTTCTTCAATCGTGGTGACGCACTTCAGTTGGTGTGCATATCAACGCAACCTAACAATTAGAAGCAAGTTTGATGCCAGTTTTGGCATTGATTGGCTGTTGTAATCTCTACCTCAAATGCCAAAACGCCAGAGTAGACTTTGTACATAATCGGGTTAAGGTAATGGTGAGCCAATGTAATTACTTGCATGCAAAATCTTCTTTAGGCATGGATTCTCTCATCAACTCGCTGCTTCCTGTACTAAGGCGGGATTTAAAAGATCACGTGTAAAATGAATTAATGAGGCAGGAAGGCCGCCATACGCAGCCTAACATCCAAGCCTGCTTGGTCTCAGGCGCGGTGCGGTGAGTCGTCGTTCGACTGGCTCCACGGCAGCTGTGCGTAGGCGGAAGAGAGCAAACGATAAACTCACGGTGAAATCGACGCTTTTATACACAGTCGTCCCTCATCGCGACTCATCTCCATGATTCTACCTAATTAAATGAATGACTAAATGTGGAATAACTATAGATTTCGGGTCAGTTAAACATGGATTGGCATTGCATTGAGAGGTGTATGCTTGTCATCCATGGTGTCAAGCATCGATTGATAGAGGCTTAAAGCATCATGAATTTATCAGTTTCCTCCATTTGCAAAGACAATCCAATCGCTACCCAGTAAAAGTTTGTTAGTCTTTTGCAAAAGAAAAGTCTAGATAATTGAAATAATGGCGCTTTCTCATCTGCATCCATGAAAATATTGGCACTTGAAGGTGTGTCACTTCCACTACGCGCCCCATGCAAGAATGTTAAAACTTCATCAGCTACAATACAATTGCCATCTCACACCCCGACCACGCAAAGCGTTGGCACACTACTGCTCTCGCACCATCTCCACCCATTTCCCGAATTTTACGGCACATTATTTTTCAAGTCAACAAAAGTCTCCTTTGGCTTTTAGCCCATTTCCACACAACATGCTCACTTAAAAATGTTTACGATGCGGTGGTCAAAATGAACGCAAGCCTGATGCATGCGTATTTTGGATTCCACGTCAAAGTCTATCACCAGCTGACTGCATCCGCATAAGGTCCTACGAAGTGTCGGGTGGAAGCGCATAAACTAGGACCACCATTCCAAGCCAGCTATTCACCGATGGCCCGCAGTGACGAGCTTCATAGTGAGATCTGCCTCAGTGTTAAACAACCCTTCAGCAATTGAAGACATGCCATCGGCTGTTGATATTAAATGACTCCGGCTTCTACTTGCACTTTTAATTGCCTAAATATAAAGTGGAAATTCTTGGTGCCCTAAACAGATTTTATCGTTTAAGCATGACCTTTGCATAAAGGATTCCTAAAAGGAAATACCCACCTCTTCTGTTTAAGTGTAAGGTCCTGAGTTAAAAAAAAATTGTCTAGAGGCGTAGCATGCCTAACCAAATGCATAAATTTAAAAAAAAATCATGAAAACAGGCTCAACAGATAAATGCGATTTCTTGGATTGGAGAACTGGCGATTGCACCATATGTAGCAAGCACTGGTAAGTCAGTCTTTTGGAGTAGCCCATATCCATTCACAACAGTCAACGGTCAGGCAAGTGTAGGACACAGCTCCTTCAATGCACTTATAACAACCCGAATTTCCGATGAACATATCCAACCACATAAAGAGCAGGATGAAACCCTCTTCAATTGCAAATGTGTCATAACCTAGGAGTGCCAAATAGTAGTGTTCAAGTGACATGGAAAGAGAGGGAGTTAGTTGAGAAGCTTTTTGCCAGAAAAATGGTAAACTTCTTTAGTCACGTCTGTTTTCAGCCTTTGCTGGCTTGGT